CCCCAAAACCCCAAAACCCCAAAACCCCTTGAGCTAGGATAGTTAAGTTATTCGTAGAAGTAAATGAATATAAAATTCTCTTGGATTATTTATTATAGATTTATAGTCTTAAAATGAGCAATATTAAATGCAGCTTAGAATCCTTTACGGAGGATTGGAGTGAAGACGAAGGATCAACAAAATCTACTAATACTTCTGCTATATATTTCAGCAATTACAAATAATAAATTAAAAATCCCCTAACTCTAAATAAAGGGTCACTTAGCTACAATGAGAACACTGCTGGGGTTAAAAAACAGCATTATTATTCTGATGCATTTTAAATCATTTAACAAAGAGCATTCATAAATAATAATAGACAAAAGCATCAAATTTAAATGATGCCCTAAATTGCTCAGCCTACAATGTCTATGCATGTAAGTAATATTTATCATATCATATCATAAGATTGATAATTCAAATAGGTCCTTATTGATATTGATGATGAGGATATAGTTAAGAGGAGATAATCAAAGAATTAAGTTGACTAACCATAATTTTAAGCTTTCGAACTAGAAGGAAATAATTCTTTCAATGCAAGACTTTTAGGAGATAAAAAATACACCTAGGTAGTTCCTGAACATTAAAATCTGCTCGATATACCATAGCCAAGACATTTATAAAATTCAATCAGTTCCCCGATAAATAGAGTAGCGAAAAATTCTTAAAGAGGCAGGAAATCTTCTAGAAGTAAATCAAAAAACCAGAAAAATAATGAAAAATTGGATGAACAAGGATTTGGACTGAAAGCAACAGGAGACTAATCATCAATATGCCAAAAGAAACAGTTTGAAGGTAATACTCCCAAAGGGTCATAAAGAAAAAGACGAGCTTCAATTTCAAAACCTAGATTAAAACCTGTGGATGGTCAATAAGATTGCAATACATTTAAAAATTCAAGAACTGCCTATGGTCGCCAGAGTATATTAAGAAATTCATAGACTATTAAAAATAAGGATGAGATTTTTGAAAATGAGGAAATGGGCCTCTTACAGACATAGAAAAGTAAAAAGTTTTCTAAAGATAAACTAGCTAAAGTAATTAGTAGAGAATTTTTAGGCTATGACAGAGAAGATGACGAGGAAGAATTGCCTTTGCCATAACTTTAAAAAAATAGCTCTTCAAATAAAAATCCATAATCTGAAAAAGAAAAATTCAAGAATCAAATGAGCTCACTTAAATTATAATGCCTCTTGGATGAATAAGTTGATTATGTTCAAAACTACTTTGCTGATAAGGATGAATTTGAAATTTATGTGAATGACTACGAATATACCAGAAGTGTAATCAAGGATGTGGTTAGATTCTCAATGATTTAGTATAGAAACATTAAAAAAAAATACAAAAAATATAGTCAAAGTAAGTAAGAAACTCACTAATTAACCTCTTTTTACATAGAAAAAAAGACTTTGGTGTTTGATCTAGATGAGACGCTTATAAGAAGTGAATTCAGAATGAAGGATGGATATGATAAGAAGTTCAGCTTATAATCGAGATTTTCATGGACTGGAAGAACTACTATATATTTATTCTTAAGACCCTACCTTATGAAAATGCTTAAAATACTTAGATAGGACTTTGAAATAGTTATATTTACTGCATCTTAAGAAGACTATGCTACTAAAATTATGAAGTGCATAGATAAAGAATAAAACACTTTTGACTATTTGCTTCATCGAGAGTAATGCTTATAAAATGAGAAAATAAAAGTTATTGTAAAAGATCTGAGTCTACTACTCTCTGGAAGAGATATCAAGGATATTATACTGATAGACAATAAAGTATGCAGCTATGGTCTTAATTTTGACAATGGTATACCAATTAAAGACTTCATGGGAGATAAAAATGATAAAGAACTTTTATACTTAACATCATATATTAGACGACGCTTTTTACATTGTTACGATGTCCGAGACGTTATTAAGAAAGACTTTTTAGACCCTATTAATGATTTGAAAAAACTATACAGCATCAAATGAATTTATATGCCCTATAGTATTTTCTGTCTTATATAAACTATTTAGTAATGGTATATAGATAATAAATAAAATTTCAAAGAGATAGAATTAATCAAGATTAAAATCTATTTATATGATACCTAGTTAAATTTGGCAATGAGGGGTTTTGGGGTTTTGGGGTTTTGGGGTTTTGGGG